GTCCCAGGCAAGCAAGCCGTATTCCTAGTTCATTCCCAGAATGTCCCAGGCAAGCAAGCTGTATTCCCGCTACAGAGCCACAACCAACGTGAAAAAAAGCGTACTTAACGCCAGGAAGAATATTCCACTTTAGGGAGAGAGCAACTTCCTTAACACCATCCACGGAAACTTAATCACTTGCAGGTAAGCTAACCACATCACTTCCCCACTCAGGCACATTTCAAAGTCACCCAAGCATGCCTTATCTAATTATTTTTTGCAGCGTTACTCCTATGATTTAATCCCGTCTGAGATCATTAGACACTATGGTACCGTAAGCGAGCAATTACGACACTGACCTCTGTTCTAGGGGACCTGGGCAGGCAAGTGCCTTTGTCATCTATCAGAGGGTAATTTTCTAATTTGATTTAGAGCCTCTCTAGAAAAAAGATAATTTACTTAGCCGCTAGCTTTCAAGGACTGCCTTCAAGCCTAGGATACACAGTACATCTTAGGGCAAAAAAATAGGTTTAGGAAGTTCTCTCACTGCAGACACCCACGCCCCAGACAAGAGCACTTTGGCATCCGACGGTAACTCGAGTTTCCCATGGGAACTGTAATTCAGTGAAAATTCACTATGGATTTTAATTTCCCACTCCCCCCCGACTTTTTGCTTGCTGCAGGTGACAGTAAGATTGAGAGGAGACGAAGGAGAAACTTGCAAATTAACACGAGGTGCAAAACCAAAGGTAAGGAAGCTTTTCTACGCTGCAGGGACAGGTAAAAAGGGCAACGTAGTACAAGCATCGTGCCACAAGTGGGATACCACACCGCCTGCCGACCGCTGGCTACTGAAAAGCCGCAGGTCTGGTAGCCGTGGACTACCAGGGTTTTACTAAAGCCATGCTCTTCCTTCCAGCACTTTCCCTGCACAAAGACAGTTTGTAGGAGGCAGGCAGCCACCGAAGGGGAGGCCCCATATCTGAAGGCACGGGTAGGGCGAGCGTCCCATCGAGGCGTGCGGTGGCTCTGCGGCCGAGAGCTTTCTGCGCCACTGAGGTCCTCCCCTTCCTCAGGATGCTGTGGAAAACCGAAATCAGGACTCAATAGTCATAAAAAAAATGACTCCCTGCTGCCATTGCACCACCCGTTACTCCGCAACTACCGGAAGAGAGATAAAAATACGAGCACTAAAAATAATTTCAGATTCGGCCCCGTGCTGGGTCACAAAGAACTAGAATCGATGCTGGTTTTTGCTCCAGGCAGATTTAGGTGTGACCACGTTCTTTCAAAACACTCGACAGTCAAGGGAGACAGAAAAAAAAATAATCAGCAAAACCAAATGAGCGCTCCAAGGTTATAAATTCCTATAAATTTACAGTATCATCCTGAATTTTTAAGTAAAATGTGGCATTTGCAGGGGGGGAGTAAGGGGGGAAGTCACTGTTGGAAGTTCCTAGGAATGGATGAACCTAAAGAAAAACAGCAGAGCAGAAAATTTAATTGTAAGCAACGAAGCAAACCCCTGCAGGTAAATGCACCAAGCTTGGCTGAAGGCACCTCCCACTGGTAAGGTTAAATTCAAAGTACCTCTGGGGATGCAACTCTCGGGATGGTAAAACTCAACAGATGGACTCCTCTTCTGCACATACGCTGATGGGGAGGGATAACAGCAGCAGATACTAGCTGTCACGGGTACTTAAAGACAAAAAAAAAATACATAAACCATTCTGGCATACTTAAGAGTCCAAGCTCCTTTTGTAAAAGCACAATAGGCCATCCTCTCCACACGTGACTTCTGAAATCAGCAGCAAAAATTCTATTACCGGCTTCTTCACGAAGAACTAAACACCGCCCTCCCCTGCTGAAGCAGATTTTTGCACGAGTTTTAAAAAGGAGAAAAAGAAAACCAATGTTTAATCATAAATACTTAACCTACATAAATGTGGGAAGGAACAGAAGGGTGACTTCTCTTGCTACGTGTTCGAGTCAGGATTAATAACAGAGCAAGACTCCAAAACTTGGGCTTTCGCAATTCTGCTCCACTCTCCAGAAAACAAAGTCTGAATCATTGATCATCTGAATTGTTATTAACATGGTTTTATTTTTGACTTAAATGAATTTCAGCAGAAAAATCCAAACCGTTTCACCCAGAGGAGGCTGGTGTGTTTTTTTTTTTTTTTCCCCCCCTTTCACATCATAGAAATGGGTAAAAATAAAATAAAATAATCCTATCTGAGGCAGGATGCCCAGAAGGCATTCGTTGATCGATTCTTTTCCTAGCTAGGTATCTCCGTTCTCTCTTCTGTGTCATCAAACATCTTACCCACCTAGTGTAACAGAGGAGCAGAAGATTAAATTGATAATACCAAAAAAAAAAAAAAATCCTGCAGTGGGACTACACGCCTGCTTACAGCTGAAGTCCACCAGGAGCGCCCGGCCCCCAGGTTCGCTCCTAGCCTTCCCCCACCTTCCCCCCGGGAGGAATCGTCCTTACGCAATTTCCAAGAACCATGAGCAAGCTCTTCCCCTCCACCCCCAGAAGCCTGCCGCTTATCTCCCACTTTTCCCCCCTCTGTTTCTGCTATCTTCGCTGGGATCACTGCTATACCCTCTCCACCAGTTTGACGTAATCCTCCCCGTTGACTCGCTTCACTGCCCCAGGAGGGGGATTGGACTCTCTGGGAGCAAAGGACGGAGACTTATGCTGGTGGTACCCGAGCCCACCGGCATTCCTTGGCTCTTACCGCGCTGCTTCTCTACTCTTACCTTGGGTACCTTGACTACAGTCAAGATGCTTTGGTATCATCTCTTGAAAAATATTTTTTTTTTTTTCCTACTTTTCCTTCCTTCGCCTCCCGTCCTCCCTGGCTGCAAAGCCACCACGGGTGTTATACACACGCTGCTCTGAAGAATTCAGCAGAAATAATGCAGATTCTTCTCTTGGACAGCGAAAAGATACCAGTGTCACCAAACTTTGTTATAAGATGTATCATTAAAATACCTACGCTGCTGCGGTTAACTGGAGGGCATAGGATTTAAAACCATTAGCCTATCTTACCAGCAACACCTATAGCTGCAAAAATGCCGCGAGCGTCATTGATACGGTTTCCTTCCAGAGACTCTCATGGTGTTTTAGGAACGTACTTCCAAGCTTCCAAATAACTTGCTCATCCTTATACACCAGTGTGTTAGGGTCTTATTTGCCCTGTAATAAAATGCACTAAAAAAAAATCTCACAAAGGAACATGTGAATTTATCTTTACATTAATCAAGAGTTTTAACAGTAGACTTAGTCGTACAGAAGCCCAACCTTTTCTACCATTCCAATTTAAGGTTTAGTTTTTTCAGTTTTTAAGCACTGCCAGCCTACAATGAAGTACTTTCAAGCATGCTAAGATCATCCTCTCAACTTGTGAACTACACAACTTTAACACTTATCTGTAAGTGAGAATTACTGCTGGAGGTAGAGTTACCAGATGTAACAAACAAAGGTTTTCTTGTTTCTTCCCCCGAAGCTTCTTCTAAAAAAAGAAGGGTCTAAATTCAGTTTAGTGCACACTTCATGCAAGGAAATTTTCTTCCAGACTTCTCAGTGACAGATTTTCTGACAGTCCCAGCCACTCTAAAACACACGGAAGATTATACAGTCCTTCTACTGAACAGTCTGATGGACTAAACAGAGGCCTAGCAAGCTTTATTTAGCATTAACTGGTTTTATTATTTACAGTGTCATAAAGCAGACTGAAGAATTAAGAGATGCACAACTGAAAACTTCTCAAGCATTTTATTTCATAACCTAGTGTATAAAACTTCAACATACAAAAAAAAAAAAAACCAAACCCGAAGTGAACTAAAGCAAAATCTCTTAACACATTTTCTCCAAGAAAGCTTTACCTAAAGGCTCAGAAGCAGTAAACATTCAGCCTATTTAAAAATGGGATTCAGAACAATCTTCACACTGGCAGGCTGCAGAGTTATGAATCAAACGGACCCGGGTTTGATGCCTTCTTAAAAACGGGTAACTTGCTGTAAGCGGCGGTGTTTGTGGGGTTTGTTTTTGGTTGTTTGTTGTTTGTTTTTTTTTTTAAATACCTAGTTCACTTTCACAACCACAGTCTTGGTTAGTTATCTTCAGTGAAGCGAATATGTTTACTCGTTTGTTGAGTCTTTTCAAGTCTCATTCTTTCCGCTTTAGCAATCAACTGCAAATGGGAAAAATATTGTAGAAGAGATTAGAGGAAAACTTTGTTATGATTTTATCTCACAATCATGAATATTATTCTCTGATTTACCAAACTTTGTAAGAAAAAGCTAAGCTTTGAGCAGCTGAGCTAACCTGTACATCTGACAGGAAAAAGTTAAAGCAGCCCTGATAAAATTTATTTCGGTGTTGCCTCAGGACCATCCAAAATAGTAAGGCATCTCTTCAGCCTCTGGACACCGCAGCATCTTTCATTCCATCCCTTCTTCTTCCCAAAAGCACAGTCTCATGCAGTAAGTTAAAAACCCCTGCCCTTGGGTCGGATTCATGCTGTTACCGATGCAAGAAAAACAAGGTCAGACCATAAAAAAAAGAAAGCCTTCGGAATATTGTGTCATTTTCTACACTCAGTTAGGAAAGAAACAAAACCACTGAAATCCAGATGGGGGCCATCCTTCAGGCCGGGAAAACAGCACGGCACATATCACAGCCCTGCTGGGAATTCACCTCAAGAAATAACGGTGCAGTCTGGAGGAACACGGATGCTAACTCAAACCCCTGTCTGACCAGGGATTTGTTTGTTTTCAGCTGCATTTCAGGAAGATTGCCTGAATTACCTGGCTCCTGGTTAGCTGCTCCCAGGACAGAGGTATGAAAAATGCTCCTGTGGAACACAGCTAACCTGCCAATTTTCAAATTCTGTGTACTGTGTCTTCAGGCAGAAAACAAAACACCGAGAACAATGTTAAAAGCATACTTGTTTGTAAAGCATCCATACTTGGAACATTCACCGGTTTAACCCCAGTACTGCAACAAAGTCATACTAATACCCAAAAGCAAAGGTGCTTTGTTACTGTGATGCCCTGTTAAGATTCCTTCCATAAGCAAGAGCTCATCAGGTAACTGTTACACAAATAAGATAATAAAAAAACAAAACAAAAAAGAAAAACCAAAAACAAAATGCAAGGAACAAGACAGGCAGCCTAATCTGAGTAAGAAGTGAGAAAGCAGGAACTCTGGTGAATCTAGGCACATCTGTAACCCACCAGCACAAACCCACATCAACTGATCCGATGGAGACTACTAGAACAGATTAGCTGGTGCCGAGGCAAAGGGATACTCGCGCACCAGGCAGTCCAGTAAAGGGTTTGCTAGATTTGAAAAGTTTACTTTTACTCTCTGGTATCTGAAAAAAGGATTAAAAGAGTTAAGCTCTAAAAAGAAGCGAGGAGTACAGGGGCTCATTCATTCAACTGATGGGATTGAGAATCACAGACGCTGGAAGGGAGGCTTTAAGATGTGAACTGCCCAGTTCCTATCAGTGGGTGTTTCTATACCAGCACCTCAGAGCTGGAGGATTTGTGAGAGGCTTGAAGGATTCCCATTTTCAGCTGATTAATCCAGTATCAGCACCTATTTCTAAGCACACCACTTATTCATATAGCCGACCAGGTACCCAGCCCTTCCATCGTTACCAACTTGAGAGAACCAGGGAAAGGGGCTTATTTGTGCTCTGGAGTGGGACCTCTCCCCACCGGCAGGCGCAGAGGGACCGTCAGTCTTGCAAGGACACAGCCCCCGAGCCCCAGAAGAAAATAGGGTGGGCTGTGCCCAGGCATTCCCACTATCCTCCCTTCCCATATATCCTGCAAATTATTCCGCCCTCTGCAAATACCCGATTCTCACTTCCTCCCCAAATGCCTTTCACTTCTACCACCACTCCCACCTCCTTAAGCTCCCCCCTTTCCTTCTAGGTACGTGGGTGTACAAGGCGTAAACCAGGGTCGGCAGCAGCTGCTGCCAGAAGACAAGCACCCGAGGGGAAGCCTGCAGGCCCTCCCGCCTTTGCCTGGGGAACAGAAAACTCCAGTCATTAGCCTAGAAAGTTTAAGGCTACTACAGACCGAGGAATGGCGTCAGGTCTGCAGGAACCCGCACTGCCCTGAAGAAACAGTTCTGGCAGGAAGGTTTTTAATCTGTATCAGTACATCACTAAGGTGGTTTTGTCGCGTGGTTGAACAACAGGCTAAAAAGAACACGGATTTGGAAGGGGCAGCAGAGGGGCCACAATGAGCCCCCAGCCCTCGGGGAAAAGCCAGACACTGAACACCTTTTTAACCCCAAAGGGCGGCTAGGCGGTCATCAGAAGTTCTGGGGACCCTTGGGGTATCTAGTCTCTTTTGGACATGGAGTTTACTACAAGAACTATGCCAGAGAAAGTAAAATCACTACCACTTTTTTTTGGGGGGGTGGGTGGGTGGTGTGGAGAGGGGCACTACCCCCAGAAACGCTCTGCTGAAGTGATCATTAACCCTTACCCCGGCACACCACAGGACCCAGCGCAGGGAAGCTGAGCAAGCCTTACGCTTTTTAGGACACGTGGAAAAGAGGAGCCCCAAATCTGCCTCGGGTTCCACTCACAAGCATCTCTGCGCTGTTACTGCGTACTGCCCGTAACACGAGGCAGCCCAAGAAACGAGATGTATGTTCACTGTTACTATAAATACTCCCATTGACATCACTGCAGCTATATAGCTTAGAGGAATTTAACTTTTAAGCCTACGTTTAAACACTAATTGAAAGGAAGTACAAGATGCTGTCTTTATTATAACTCTGAAACAGCTAATAGGCAAGTGCTCGTCTTCAAAGAGCCATCTTGTAAGGGATTTTAAAGCCTTCAACAGAATAGATCTTTACAAGAAAGATACACTGATGGTATGTTCAGCTGTACATGTTTAATTATGAATCACTATCACTTTTTTCCTCCCTTTTATTGTGACCTTCAAAAGAAGTCAACTTCTGAGTACTTCGGAAGAATTTTCAAACAAAAGATTAAAATGAATATTAATGAACAAAGAAAGAAACGCTGGTTTTCTTATTATCAGTCTGTATTTCTGGAATTCCGACTGTCAAAAAGTAAGGAAAGGGTTAAGAGTTACCGACTACAGGGAGGCATTCTTCTCTTGATGCTTTGCTTAACGGCGTTAGCATTTAAATAGCATTCACTGAGCTTTGAAGTTAACACCTCCCAGTGTTGCAAGGTGATGGGTAAGGGGGAGGAGCAGGAGCTCGCACCCTCGCTGCTGCTATTGTTAGGCAGAACGCAGACAGTTTATATTTGCAAGCCTAGATGAGGTACATTACTGGCCAATTTACACCAGTTTGGTCAACAAATACCAATCTTCAAAAGATGAAGAACAGAAACTTGAGAGCAGGACACCTACAGTCCAAACTAAAGTCAAAGGTGCCACTGGCACCTTTTGTTTGAAAAAGTAAAAGTACATTTAAAAAAAAAATAAATAAAATGAAAAAACCTGGCAGCACTCAGTAAAAGGCTCCGAAGCTGCACAGTTTTCACATTCCCTTACTGCTTATATCCAAGAATTAATGGCTAGAGCCAATGCCATTTTTATACTTTGAAGAAAATTAAGTCAGTCACTTGGGGAAATTCTTACACCTTTGTTTAAAAGCATGAGATTCATTTGCCTACGGGATCTCCGAAAGAACAATTAGACAACAGTAAAAGGCTCCGAAGCTGCACAGTTTTCACATTCCCTTACTGCTTATATCCAAGAATTAATGGCTAGAGCCAATGCCATTTTTATACTTTGAAGAAAATTAAGTCAGTCACTTGGGGAAATTCTTTATGCACACCTTTGTTTAAAAGCATGAGATTCATTTGCCTACGGGATCTCCGAAAGAACAATTAGACAAAGAAGATAATACATGCAAAATTCGCCTTGTACAAGACAAGGTTTTGACCTGTACAAGTGCTGTTCCTTTAGGTCAAGGTAATATTCCTTTTTCATTATATACAGAAGAACTAAGAAATTTTTGGTATTGTGCACAACACCGGAGCACCTAGGAAACAAAAAGTCTCCAAAGTCACCAGAAAAGAATTAAGGTCAGATGATTTTGAAGTTTTGCAAGCGACAGCATAAAGATCCAGGTTAAAGCCAACTCAGAAACCTTATCTGCCGCGTGTGTGAAGTAAACCTAGCAATAAAATGTCTGTGAAATACTCTCCGGCTCCTCTCTTGTCAGGGAAAGGATCTGACTGGCTTAATCAAGAGCCCTTCATGCCCAGAAGGATCTGCTGGGGCAGGAGTGGAGCCTGCAAGTTCATTGCAAGACTCCCCCAACGCCCCGGCCTGAGGGGCGCACCAAGGTCAAGGCACTACACGGAGGTAGGTTGTGTCCGGGAGCCGCTCAGCTGGGGATGCTTGCGGTGGCGCTTGGATTCGCCCGGATCAGAACATAAAGACACGCTGGTGCATAAACTCTTGACTACACCGCAAAGACACCAGCGTTCACCGTAGTGCAGAACTGTACGCTAAAAAAATAATTGTGTAGATGGTCAGCAAAAAAGATACTAATTCTGAAGAAAACCATCTTCTTCACCACACTAGAGAATTAAGACTGAAGCACTAGACTATCACACTAGAGCAAGTCAAGACTGCTTAACTTTTTACTGAGCTCACCCAGGCAGGGTTTTAAAGGAAATCCAGCTTACAAATTAACTTCATGCCTTTAATCAGGGACTCAACTTTCTCCGATTGACTTCATAAAGACAAGCTTTGCAGTTGGCAACTGGACCAAGACAGCCACACGGTCTCTATTTTGTGACTGTAAAACCCTGCTGCCAAGTCAGCAGAAAGCAATTTTACTGGGTTAAACAGAGCGCCAAATGTTAAAGTACCGAAAAATGCAGACCTGCAGAAACGGTGTCGTATTTTCAATCACGGCTGTACAGGAAAATAAATTTACTTGCAAATTACCTTCTCAGTACCCCGTTTCTTTTCTCGAGGCTGGTTAAGTTTAGCTTGTCTGTCCACTAAAATCTTCTGCCAATAACGTTGCTCATGATCGCCTTGAAAAACAAATTAACGTTACAGTACATGAATAGAAGTATTCAACACAAACGGATGCAGTGTTTTTAGCTGTGATGAGAAGGAATCTTTTCTAACCAAGGGTAAACACATGCGAAAATACCTGTCTACCTGTCGGGGAAACCTAACAAGCATTTCCCCATCAGTCCTAAATTTCATAGTCAGAGAAGTCATACGGCATTGCAACATCTGACCAACACACACCGAGGCGAGCAAAGAAAAGCAAAACTCTGCCCCAAGAAGCTTAAAGCTGACACTGAGGTCTCTGTGCTGTTTATAAGCTGGACAGGACCTAAATCAAGGTCCTACCATTTTGTTAAATTTAGGACTGGATTGCTAAGGTATCTAACTAAGTTTTCTTCATCCAGCAGTTTTACAACCTTAACAAGAACTGAAGAAATATGCAAACACCGCTCTCTACATGTAAGGAGCAGAAGGAGGTCAGTTCTAGCTGAAGTCTCACCACAGAACTGGAGGCCCTTTGATTTACTGATGTACTCAACCTCTGCCTGATTTTAAACAGCTACCTAACAGGAAAAAATAAAAATTGCTGTAAGAATGACTGAGATAATTTTGTTTCATCAAAACCACCGTTAGAAGCAAACTGCGGGGACTTCATGGGCGGTTTGGAACATTTGAACATGGGGGCAATAGGAGAGGAAATAATTTTGCAGCTTTTTTCAGGGGCCGTTCTGCAGTAGGAAGCAGTTTGCCACTGTTTCCTCTGGTTTGTGCTGTAACTATCACGATGGGAATTTTATGATGTAATGTTGTACGGTCTCATGGGAAGTCTTCAGTTACCGGGAAGTTTCCCAGTGATCTTGGAAGAGACTCCTGCAAAAGTTATGGAATTTATAATTCTGAGAACCAATTTTGCATACATTTTAACAGCATTATTTTTACATTCAATCACAAGAACATCTAAACATTATCATAGACCTTTACTACCTTGTTAGACGAAAACCTGAAGACATGTCAAAGTCAGTTTCTAAAAAAGTAAAATATTACTGGAAAAGCTTTAGCCCCTGCAGTAAAGATTCTTTCCTTATTCTTATTTTCTCTCACTTTATGCCGCCAAGAAAAGCAGAAATCCTTACTGTGAGTCACTTGTGCTGTTTTTCAGAAGCGTTTCCATTTCCATTCTCATTTCAATGAACCAGTTTGACAAAAAAAAGTCTTAAGGCTATGAATGGAAGGCTCCTACAATGTAGTACTTACTCCTAATCTACTACTACACTCTTTTATATAAGGATACAAAACCAGAGACAAACACACAGAGCACAGCACACATTTTACAGCTGTAAAATGCTGTATTTCAGATTGTTTCTGGATCTCTGAAATTCAGAACACTCTGGAGACAAATCTATCTCCAAATGACATCAGCAGCATTCAGTGAGTCTCAAACTTTAATTAACTTTAATATTATGATGAAGGTTAATGCTTCCATTATAGCTTTTCCTTCTGCAATCTCTTAATTGACATTTATGAGGGTTTACATCCCTGCATGCATGGAACTGGGCCCTGTGCAAGGATCTGTGCGGAAGCGTGGCAAAATATTTAAATACACAGAGGAGAGAATCTCATCTGGATGACTTTACCTCTTTTTTTGGGCATTTAGGATTTTTAGTGCATGTCTAAAATCTAAAAGTTTATTGATAAAGTAACTACGTTTGAGAGAATTTCCCCCCTCCCACTGCCTTCTACCCCTCGCTCCCATAAAGAGCATTCTCCACACTTGGAAGACTAGTCCAATCCAATCCAAGAGACAAATTTAGAACAGCAGAGTCATTTCACAAAAAAAATAACACACATTAGGATGAAGTTCCAAAGTAAGCCAGTAAAAATTTTACTGTAAATATAATTAAAATGAGGCATTACTCTGGCATAAGATATTCAACTTCCTGAAAAAAGAAAGATTAATTAGAAGGCAAGTGCTAAAACCACTGCAAGTGTATCCACACTGTTAGATCCTTGTCCTGTTATTTCACACATACGTTCGGTATTTTCAAGAAAATCTTCATTTAAAATTCTTTTGCATCATCAGAATGTGTATACGTAAAGCTGAAGTGTGAATCAAGTTTTATAGCCCACTGCCACTAAAAGAGACGTAAATAAATCCATCTCAAAATAACAGAATTAAGTTGATAAAGGCAAGCAAAATTGTTATTTTGCTTTGAACAGCGGCGTAAAACCCATTTTAGCAATTTCACTAGCATGGCAAAATGAGAACACTTGGAGAAAGAAATTGCAGTCTTTTCCCCGACCAAGATAGCTCAATATATCCATAAAGCTACCACGCGATACAGTCCTTTTCACAGTACTTAAGCCTTCTCCTGTACCACCATTAAAAAGAAAAGGAAGTCTTACCAGCGAGAACTTCAAATTTCCAGTTGTTTTTGATCTGTATTTCTTTGTATGATTTCATGACAATCTGTGCATCCTCAGGGGTTTTAAAACGGACATGACATTCTGTGTCTCTCTCCAGCATGTCAACATAAGCAACATCAGCCAGCACTGCCAAAGCATCCTACCAAAGCACGCAAGAGAACACAGACCATAAACCAGACTTTAAAAAAAAAAAAAAAAAAAAAGAACATAAAGAGTGGCTTTTTGACCATTCGATTTGTACGTCATTGACATTTTCAAAAAGGTCAGGAAGTAAAAGGCAGTAACTGAACCTTTTCCATCTGATCAAGGAATCTCTCATCCAATAGTTTTGAATATAGTTTCCTAATAAGGTCAGAACTGAATTGCAATCTATGAGCCTACAACTTCTATTTATCTCCCATCCTGCCCTCCAAGAACAGTTTAAAACACTACCTCCTGAAGTTTGGGGGTTTTTTTTGCGTAAGAATAATTTTACTAATGGAGCATCAGTAATTATCCAGTTATGTCAATACTGTATCTGTATGGACTTTTTTTAAAACAAGAAAAATTATTTGTGTACTGTAATATTGATATATGTCGGTCCAACAGAAAAATACCTAACTTGATTCTGTGCATGAAATATATAAAAGCAAGCTCATTCATGGCAGATCATTTGAGAAATGAATAGTAGTAAACCAACCCTTCCTATCTTTATGAAGTGACCTCTGTCTGAAAGTTTTCACTAAGGGCTGAAGGAAGAAGAGTCACAGAGCTCTTTCAGATCAAGTACTCCACTTGTAATACCTGCTGTTAGGGAAATTAACTGAGACCACACATTCCTAGCCAATTTTGTTCACAGCAGGCAGCTCAAGGAAGATGCTTCCATTCAAGAATTACACACACTGCTTTTAACCCTCCGCTACCAAGGACAGCCTTAAAACACAACTTAAGCGCCACTGCCGTTGAGATCATCGGAGAGCCAACCAAAGCAGCTTTCCACTCTTCATTTTGGTACCCCAAAGTCATGCTTACAACACAAAAACTACAACGAGGCAGTTTACTGCAGTTGGCAAATGTTATAATCTCTGAGAAGCACCTTTATAGCCAAATATGGAAGTCGAAGTAAAAAATTAAAACATCAAAATAATATTAAAACTACTCTGCAAAGACCTTTCCAGTGCACGGAAGTAATTAAGCCTGCCACACAAGCAGAAATACAGATCAATTCTGGAAGTTGATTAAGGAAAAAAAGACCTGGGTGCATTGCTTTGCAGTAGCTATGACAGTCTAGGAACGCAAGCAAAGCAAGGTTTTGTCCAAGAGTTGCAGCCTCCATAAAAGCAACCAGTATGGCCAGAAAAATCCAGTGTGTGTCAAGTACAGTTTGCATCTTTCACTGCTGACCCAAAAAAGGGCTGGTGCACCCTAAAGATTATCACTTCTTCCAACTACAGTTGTATTCTGCAATTGTACGCCTCCCCAAAACCCTTGCCTGATTCGTTTGCTAACATTTTGTGAACTATTTTGCCTATCTGCTTATTGTGGGAACCAAAGATGTGATTAATAACGGGAAGGGCCACCCCAAATCTTATTTGTCTCCCTTTACTTTCATAAAACATTGTTTTTCCCTGATATGCTTCTGTAAAACCAAACCAAAAGAATAACTGGAAACACCTGGAAATACCAACCTTAAGTTTGTTTTCAGCTCTAGCAGGAACAGTAAGCTCACCTCCTGACCACATTACATTAAGTTGTGACACAAAATTCTCACAGTAAAGTGTATGCTGCAACCAAAGGGCTCTCAAAGGTTACAGTGACAACTACTACATCCTCTCAGTGTCTCCAACACTCAGACAACTGCCTACAAATACACCTAGGCAGCTAAGTCCCATGAAGCTGAAACCCCATCATCAGGTTTTTTTCAGTAAGGGAGATCTCTCTCAGCTTGCTTCGCTTTTTTTCCCCTGTAACTTCACAGCTGCAAGCAGCCCATGACTTCAAACAGACCACTCCGTTACAAATATGGGTAGTTTTGATACGTCATCTCAGAACTCGCATTCCAAACCGTTCTCATTGTCTTAAGTGGTCTCAACATTTATTCCAACATGAGTTAAAGTTGTTCAAATTCTCTCCAGCTGTTATTCATCCAAAGTGCAATTTGTGAAAGAAAACGTTCTCTATCACATTCACGGAAAATTCAGTTATCTGGAAAAAGCCTGGTATTTCCTTCAGAAAATGTGTAATATTTCCACTGCAAAAGGATGCAGCTTAAAACTGCTATTTTCCTTAGAAAAAACTATTCTACTTAACATGTGTAACTTCCATATCCTGACATGAAACAAAATGTAATTTACTCAACCCCCCTTTTTTTAAAAAAATTGAGAAAAAAGAGCACTTGCCATGGTGGGGGGGGGGGGAAGGAAGAAATGGGTGAATGAATTACTGGAGAAGTTCTACTGCTGTCAGTCTCATTCAGCTGGAGTTTTTGTAATTGTGAATTACTTAGTAAAAAAAGACAATTGTTTTTTCACGCAGAGAGCATTTTCTTGCCCCCAAATTCCTGTTAATGCTAAACCCCTAATATACTATTACAGATTTCTTGATCTGAATTGTGCCAGAGTGACTGGCGCAATGGCAAACAAATACAGAACACTGCACCCGCTTTCCCTTCAACTTCTCTTTTTAAACTGGAAAGAACTACTCGTCCTCTAGAGCTTTTTTATTTTGTCATTACTTTCATTATAAACTTGACATTGCTGGAAGCACTCTAAAGGCTGTTTTTTGCTTTGAAACATCCTCTTTACCACCCTATTTTGCCATTGTAAAATCTGCCATTCACAGGTACTAGAGAAGAATCTGTACACAGCTACTGGCCAAACACAAAAAAAAAAATCAGTACGACTTGTTTAAATGGTATTCCATATTCAAACATTTGGGGGGCACTGTAAGAGGAAAGGCTAACAGCTACCCTGAGGTTACAAAGGCATTACCTTGATCTGCTTCCTGCCCGGCAGGGGCTCAGTGCTAATGATCTTCACAATTACTCCACTCACAAACTGGGGCCCCATTGTGTTAGCCTTGGCAGGAGGGGCTGAATCTTCACTGGTGGCTGGTCAATTTGAAAAGAGGGAGGGGGGGGAAGCAAAAGAAAAAAATATTACATTTATTAGCTTATCAAATTGAAGATGCTATGTAAGCACATAAGCAACGTGATGTATGCACGAAATGAAACAAGAATGATCAGACACTGCTACTGCAGATCAAGTCTTTTTTTTTTTTTTAACCTAGGATCAAGACTGTTCATAAGGTAAAGTCAAAGTGAGTTAAAAAAAGGGAGAAAATAACTCCAAGAGAAGTCTTGGAGAAGTTTTTACAGCCTATAGGGTCTCCTTATAAGAATAATTGATATTCTATTGATTACAGTTAATAGTTGAACCCTCAATTCTAGAGTGATTAAAAATAAGCACAGGCATTGAAACATCAGTATTGAAGTCAGTGAAGTACAGAGGAACCAGAGCAAAAAAGAACAATTCTCTCTATGAAAAATGCAGAAATTTATCTAAGAGGACATAATTACAAAACTACTTTTAACCATAGAGCTGATAAAAAGCAAATGCAAGCCATTTTTTGAATGCCTTACTTGGAGAAATCGTTTGGTAAATTGCTGCAGGAATAGTCAAGCCTAAGCAAATCAGGCCCAGGTTACATAATCAAAAAAGCTAACTCTGGATTTACCTCTCTGAGGCTTTTATAATTACAATTACCTAAGAAGATCTTTCATGTTAAGATGTGGTACTGGAATACACTGAACTCACTTGTTTAGTCTTTACTTAGAAAATCCCTTAGTCTAAACGAGGGAGGTTTGCTTTTAATAATATTTGGCATTCAGAGAAAGCACCAGCATTGTAGAAAATAAACCTATTTTGCAGTGTTTCTGAAGGACCAGTGTCCTAAATCACTAATGTTTGTGTACTAGAACCATGAAGAGGACAAGACAAAAAACCATCACAAACAGGATTACATCTGTCATTTTCAGATTGAGGCTTTTTATGTGCACAAGATTCCGTTTCCATCTCACCCATGGGCTCAGGTTTGATTTGAGACATTGTTTTCTTTAAGGAGGCCATACTGGCTTTTTGAAGGGCCAAGTATTCTTGCTTCAAATCCATCCATTCGGTCCTATAAGCAGCAACACAGGCATAGAACGTCAGTTATACACAAGAAAATAATATTTAGAAACTCAGTGACAAGACAAAGCAGTTTACAAATAGCTTAAGCTGAACTTGGTGAGCAGCGCAAACCATTTGTACCATTAGAGATCTCCCTGCCCTGAGGTTAAATTAAGCCTTGACAGCATCTGCAATTTTATTATTTTGCCTTAGCTTTTAATATTCTAGGCCAGTTCTAACAAGAGCAAGCTACCCTTCAAACAGAGTGACTCCCAGATTTGTCTTACATATTCAGAAAACATATAGAACAGCCTAGTAAACTGTTTTCTACTGGAACTACACAGAGCGGAGGCACTAAATTCAGAGACAGTGAACTCTGAATTCACTGAATTAGTTCAGTGAACCCGCTCCTGTGTTACTATATTAAGAATCAGTCATTTATTTTCTAGAAAAATCATTGATGGAAAATCAACAACTGGTTAAACTCACCAAAAACCTACCGAGATAAGAACATTCCTTACCATTCAAATGCATTTTGGTTAAAAAATACCACCACATGGAAGCAATTTATATATTTACATACATTTAACATGGAGATGTTTCTGCAAACAGCTAGAGCTTTGCTCCACAGAAACACAATGCCTATAGTGCCACTGTGAGAACGACTCATTGTTACCCTAATCTGTGCTATCAAACAAGCTGATAGAGGATTTTTAAAGAGGAGGATATCTTGTGGTAATGGTTTTAGCTGTTAACATTGACAACTGTATACTTCAAAAAAGCATCCAGACTCACCCAGGATCATACATTCTCAACAGAGCAAAGACATTAAAATAACAAAAGACCCACGTAATGATTCTTTGAGATAAAAAGGCAACACCATTCCATAGCAAGGTATGGTATAAATACAAGCTCAAGGAGGTACTTCTTGTTAACTTGACTCCAAGGGAGAGAAGACCATGGGGAATGAGTCAGGCAAGTATTTGCAATGCTTATGCTCTTCTAAAACTTCTGTACTTTTGGTTTTTTACCCTCTTTGCTACAGTTAAACTAAAATTTAAAACTCTTTCTCTGTATTTGATGCAGTAGTCTCAGAAGCGCGGTGGAAGAAGACGAGCATCGTCGATAAAGTACCCTTTTTTTGTGGACCCCTTTTACTTTAACATGGAGGTGCTTTCTGTGATTTAAAAAAAGTAAGTGCTTCCATGTTTTAGTAGAGGTGAATCCTGACCGCAATACTCACATACCACCCGGGATATTTTTTTTTTTTTTTTTTTTGGTCTGCTCTTCAGTCACAAGGTTTTTAGCTCCGGGAAAAGAAAAATGGAAGGATTTGGGGCTGTAAGCAGATGAAGGCATCCTTCTCCAACGAGAACTAAAAGCATAAGCGTTACTGAACAAGGCAACTTTTCAGTGGTCTGTGTGTTCAAAAACTTTTGAAGCAACTTTTGAATTTTAAAAGGACTCCCTTCGCTTTAACATGGAGGTACCTGCTGCCTAAAAAAGTAAGTGCTTCCATGTTTCAGTGGCGGTGGACCCTGATGTTCTTGAATGTATTTCTAGAAATTTGCTACAGCTCAAAGAAGCCTGCTTACAGTAATATACGTGTATGGTTTTTTATTAATTGCATTATCAGAACATTGTATATAATACCATGCTTTGGCTTTTAGTTATTTTTTAGTTACAATTTAGTTTCTACTCTAAGGACCCCCACAACTTAAATGTGGATGTACTTGCTTTGTTCCCAAATAGTAAGTGCTTCCATGTTTTAGTGATGGTGAATCCTTTTTTCTCAACTGAAAGCACTTCCCTTTTCCCAGAAAATATACTGAAACAAGATATCAAAATTAAACATGTATTTGCACATGCGGCCTCCGTGTATAACATAAAAAAGCACTTTAAGATGGCAAGGACCCCCTCTACTTTAACATGGAGGTACTTGCTGGATGCCTACAAAGTAAGTGCTTCCATGTTTTAGTTGCGGTGACTCCTCAGAGCCCAACAGTCGGGAGAAATAAATATTTTTGTCGAATGGCATAACTTTCATCCATGAATTAGCTAGCAAGGACTCGGGTGGCAGAGGTATTCTAGGCAGACTTAAGAACTCTTGGTGTTTGAACCTTTTCAGCTACAGGCTAATACTGTTGCTAATATGCAACTCTGTTGTATAAAAATTGGAATTGCACTTTAGCAATGGTGATGGACTGTCAGACATACAAGATGTTAAAAATATTCTAAAGGTTGGAAACGCTGTAAAATTGTTTGTGAGCCTGTTAAGCAATAAAAAATTCAATAAAGTATGTGCAAAACTCTGAAATAAAGTTTCCTGAACAACCAACACATACTCCAAGAAAACACTTGAGTATTTAAAAACAAGGTACAACAATGCAATGATACTTAAACAATGCCCAATGTTTTGGAAAAAAGGTTGACTAGCTAAAAATACAATAAAAGAAACTAAATGCAAAATTGTACTGCCATGTAAAAATGAACTTATTTCATAATTTGGGAACAAACAAGGAAGTTGAGCCTACCCAGCCGGAGCTGCAGGGGGTGTATCAATCAAAGTTTTCTAAATTAAGAAGGCAGGTTTTGCTGTGCCACTGCACTGCCACACAAGGGAATTTACTCCACAACAGTACCCAGTACTGGTGAGGAAAAAAAAAAAGTGAAACCATGGAAAATGGAACGCTCTCATGCTACAAACATGCTATGAAGCAACTAAACAAACACCTCCCCATCCACCAGGTACCGTAAGCTAGTCACATCGATTAGTTTTGTAACCTACTTGGAGAGTACTCGGAGCGGAATGACTTCTTCACCCATTTTGTGCCTTTCTTTGTGTTTTTTCTTGTGTTTCCTTTTAGATTTTGAAAGGGATGTGTCTTTTTTATCTTTGTCATCTTCTGCAGAAATGTCTACATTCAAAAGTCCCAAAGAAAAATGTTTAGTTCCAATACTGACAAAAACAAAGATATACAACATGGCCTGAATTAGTTTACTTGGTTATCAAGAACAGTTTAATGAATACTGGTTCTTCGATTCAAATCTGAATGAAAACGCTCACAGAAAGCAGCCTCCACTTTCATCAAGTACCCGAGTTCAGCCTCTAATCATGGACTCTTGTTAACCCAAATGTGATTTCAGTGCTGTTTCTTTTATTCCCTCCTTTGGCTCCCCCCCCCCCCTTATCACATGTAAGACACTGGGATCAGCAGCTTTTTTCTTTTGTATTTTTCTTACTTATCTAGATTCTTATACTGTCGCCATCTGCCTAGGCTGTTTAATCCATACTTCACTTCAGTGAAGTTCTATTGACATTAACTTTGTGAACGATTTTTACTTCTGATGAGATTTACCTGCTTCAGGGTTGAAAGTTCTTTACTATTCTCCATGCACCTTATCTCCTTGGAATGGCTCATTACCAGGTTTCAATTTAACTGCAGGGAACTCCACATATTCCTACACTGACCTTGTCATGCCTCTATCCTATCAACCATTTTTCACCTACTGACCCAGGCAGAACCTCTTACCAGTTAAGTTTTCAGTCTTTCAGAGACAGAAATTCAGCGTCTGAATCTTTCACCAGCGCTTGAAAGTTTTACTCCCTAATCTTTACTCCAAGTCATAAACCTATTAGCCTCCAAAAGTCAGTTCACTAATGCATTTGTATTCCCCACATTATTCCAGCTGTGTTCCCTTTCCCGACTTGCTTGTTACCCTCTAGCATAGCAAGGTTACCATTTACTTAACTTCGGCCACTATAAAGACAATTTCAATTGCAAAGAACACTGTTTCTTTAACTCAAGTTTTTCTCCTTAGCTAGGTTTTTCCCTCATTACTAAGCTACTACTTTTCCCTCATTATTACATTTCTATAAGAGATACATCTGCCATTTGATTTCATTCATGCTTATCAATCATGAAAATACTACAAAGAGATGCAACAAACTTTACCATTGGAATCTTTCAGGGCTTCTGCTGTTTCTTCTTTTACAGGATGAACTTCATCCTTTTGAACTGTTTTCTTCACTTTCGGAGCTGATGTCTCACCATCTCCAGAGCTGGTTCTTTTCCTCTTCCCCGGCCTGCTTTCCCAAGGTACCTCTGAGCTTTCTGTCCTGTCCCATTTTCTTTTCTCCCTCTTTGAGGGCTGCCTGTGAGTCTCCGTTCCCTCCATTTCTGAACACTCCGATGGAGTCCTATGTCTTTTTGACTTGGGTGCTTGCTCTGTTGTAGTGTGTGCGTTTGATTCCTTTGTCTCTACAGCTGCCTGTACATTGCTCTCTTTCTTAATTTTGGATTTCTTCTTTTTCTTCTTCTTCTTCTCTTCTGCATTGAAAACACAATATTTAAAACTGCCAATGATTAAAAAGTAGATTAGATTAACTGATCTAAGTAAACAATCACAATACCACGTGTTACGATAATCTGGGATGTTAAACGTAACGCCTGTGTCTGCCATCTCTAACTACAGGAGAGATGCAATACATCGTCCCAAAGTTCTTCCAAGGCATTTTAAGCAAAAGAGAAAAAAAATCCACACAGATAAGACTCTCAGTCTCACAAAGTGAGAAAGACCTCTGGGTCACAAGGGCAGCTTGACTACAGGACTCGTGAAGTATTTACTCTCAAATTAAGTAAGAGAAAGGAGGCAGACTTGTTTGCTTCGCCTTAACAAATGCACATTTTATTATATCGCCCCTTACTTGTCTTTGCGAAGAGACACCCTCCTCCCTCCAGGCCAAACAACAAAAGCAAGAAAATAAAAGGACTGCCAATTTGTATTCTGAGAATAAAAGGAGATACTCAGCCCAATTAATATATCACAATATTTATGTAATGAACAACTATTTCCTATGAAATTAAAGAAAGTTAACCTAACCAATCTGGAAGAAAAAAAATTATTTCCAATACCGTCTACTTGCTTCAAAGTTATAACAGGCAGGACGCAGCATGAGGCAGTATAGAGTATCTTAAGTGGGTTTAAAAAGCATGGTTTTTCTTTGATTTTTTTTTGTCCTAACAGTTCCTGGTGTAACAAAGAATTAGTGATAATAGTGAGGAATATAACATCTGATTCATCATTATGCTTATAAAAAAGATGTCTGAAGTCTGGGAAATTGTATTAGGCCATGAGCAACATGGAAAAATATTTCAGCGATCAAAGTTGCAACATAGTCCTGTGATGCTGACTTGTAAGTTATACCAGCCTGTATTTATTGGAAACGTGCTCCACCGTGAATTTGGGATTCTTTTTCTCAGCAATATCCTCCAGGTTGTTACGAGTAATTACAAACCATATCAAGTGGAATTGTAAACACGCTGTAAAAAGTTCATTCCACTATAGACCGCTCTGCTCAAATAGCTGTTCCAAAGAGGAAGAAAGGCAAAACCCCCCAGTTTTCATAGTTCTCTCACAGGAAGTTTCAGCAGAGAGAATACCACAAGGTTTGCTCTGAAATATGTCAGATGATCACAAACTCATCTGAACAGCACTAACGCTTAAGTACAGTTTTGCTCTTCTGTGCATATCTTTCCTTTCAATACTGAAATTTTTTTAAAAAGAAGCCGTGTCAAATTTGTCTTTTGCTAATGCTAAACGCTTAGGTAATGATTAATTGTACAGTCTGAAAGCTGCTCTGCCAGCCTTACAGCGCCTAATGGTGGTAGCTGGCAAGAGAGGAAAAAAGAAACTAAGTTGTTTATCACGCAGGAAAACAAAAAGGCAGAAATTTACTTTTAGTTTTACACTTTCATTCTTAAACCTATGAAGGCAAACAGCCAGCAACATGCAAGTTTTTAGGAAACGTAAGGTTAGAGTGCAGGAACACAGCTGTTCTCTCTTCAGAAGTTGAGGCACAAACCAGTTTGTTTCTTTATCTTAATAACTTCGTAGCACTTACCTACTACACTGCTGTTACTTGTATTCAGTGTAGGAACAGGTTTATTCTTTACTGTTTTTGGGAAAATCCCAGGTTTCCGGGGTGCTTCTTCTGGTGGATTATTCAAAAACTTAAAAAAAAAAAAAAAGATTAAAATCCACAAACCATTACTAAAAACCATATATACTTTTTTAAAGAATCTCCATCCAAGCTAAAACCAGCAGTCCTATATGCATTCCAGAAAGACACAGTCCCTCCTGACTCCAGAGGATGCAGTTCTTTCTGTACTTTTCGGTGGGTTTTCTTGTTGTTGGGGTTTGCTTTTTAAGGGCAGAGCTTGCTTGATTTCACATTCTTAGTGTGGTATCTTTATGCATCTGTTACCATTATGACATTGAACCATAAGTGTTTTTAAACTTTCAAATCACATTTAAATACAGAAAATGAGGCAAGACCATGCTTGTCTAATGAAATTTAACAGCTATTGTACTGTTACACAGAAAAATGTGCCAAGAGCAGCCAACCAAATTATAAAAAAAAAAACCCAACCCCTCTATGCTTCTACTAAATCTCCAGGTTATTAACAGAATTACACATTTAAAGAATCGCGGAATTGATCGGGGGTCTGGCAGTAGGAGACGGACAGATAACTCCCGTTTTTAAATTACGGTATTTTAGGAATTTCTCTCAGATTCAGTGGGTGAACTACAGCGTCCATATCACAAAGTGACAATTGGGAAGAATGTTAACAGACCAGAGGCACCATTACTCACCTCAATAGCTTTCTCTGCTTGCTCTTTAGTTTCGAATTCAACAAAAGCAAACCCCTTTGGATCGCCGGTACTTTTATACCGGGGTATACTGATGTAAACTACATTACCACACTTCCCAAACACCCGCTCAATCCAACTGTGATTGACATTTTTGGGAAGCAGCTCCTGAAAAAAAAAAAAAAAAAAAAGCAAGAGATGTCATTTTCTCACTACTGTATTGCCACTGTATCAGATGGGTTACTACACAGTCTAATTAAAAAGTTGTCACAACAAAATATGTTTGACATGACAACATTGAGAAACTTTTTTTATTTCAGTAAGTATTCTTTTCAAGAGGTCATAGTAAAAAGAGTGATCTGCAAATGGATCTGTAATCGCTCACATACCTGTAACAAATACATTATAATATTTAATTTAGATGCTTATCTTCTTCCTGTGACAGATACCAAGACCTGACCTGCAGATGCATCTTTGCAACATGAAATATATTTGCAAATTTAAGACCTTTGAGCAAACGTAATCCTGCATTGTCTCAAACTATCCACTGCAAAGCACAAGGATTTTTTTTTTCTATTGTTGGTAATCCAGGTATCACAGAAAGAATTCTTGTAGGTCATCAAGGAGTCACTACTCAGACTGATAAACTCCTGCCAGTAGCTGACATTTTAAAGCTTAGCAGTTAGCACTTACAGCCTACTCGATCAGATGAGGCAGAAAATTTTAGCCAGCTTCTTGGATGATAAAATGGTCTGATTTTTATTTCTATAAACCCCTTAATATAGAAACACATTTTAGCAGCTTGCAGACATCATGTCTCAGTTCCTAAATATTTCCCTTTGCCATAAATTTCTAAACAGACCCAACTGAACACTTTAAAAGCCTACTCTCAAATTCATGCCTCAACAACAATAGAGAGTCAGCAATACTGCATTTTTTTCATGGCAAGTTACTGCGCTAGAAGGTTTTCCTTGTAGGAAAACATTACTCATCACATTCAGGTAGAAAACTATTTTTGCATGAACTTTGCCCGCCTGAGAAAAATGTTTCATTATGGTCTGGAATAAAGTTGAAAAGCCAGTTACTTAAAGCTTTAAAAAATGTTATGGGACAGGCACAAAATAATGGTGTGTGTCAAAGTGTATTTTATGTTAAAGCATATAGAAAAAGTAACTAA